CGTTTTAAAGTTCCCACCAGTTAACTTTGACGCTTTTCATTAGGAGTTCAATCAAATCAAAGTTTCAAGCCTCCTAAAATTCTTTCTGGAAAGGTAGTATATAAATAAATAAACTCAATAGCTAAACCAAATTATGAAATTATGAAATTCAATAAAAAATAATTCAAATTGTGTACGTCTTCATTTATTTGATACATCTCAATCAGGATTATATGCAAAACATTAGGTACTATAGGGTATACAAAACTTAATCTACCACATTTTACAGTTATGTTTCAGCCATTTATATTTTTATAAACTTTTGTAAGTTTTCACTTATTGTCAGCAAAAAGTGCAGAGGGAGAGAGAAAGGGTTATGTCCATACTTACACCAGGAAATTGCACTTCCAGTGGTATATGAGTGGGGAGAAATAAAGACAAAAAGATAAGCTCATGCAAATATAAATATTGACAATATTTGTATAAATTTCTATTAAATCTTAAATTTAACTAGTCTACACAAAGTGCTTTAGGCTTGTGTTCCACTCCCAGTTCTATAACTAACCAGAATATGAAAAAGCTATGCTTTTTACTCACTGCCTCAGTTTCCTCATCTCTAAAAAAAGGGTATGGTCGGATGATTTTTAAGGTCTGCTATCACTAAAAGTCATAGTGACAGTGACTGCATCCATGCTATTAGTGTTTTCATTTAAGGAATCATAATTTTAACAATAATTGAGTCACAAAGTGGGAATCAAGAAATTGTTTATAACTTACAGTTTAACTTCTCCTTTTACCAGAGGAGGAAATTGAAATCCAGAGGATAAAGATGATATTGGCCAAAAACATACCGCTTATCCATGTCAGAACCCAAATCAAGTCGTTAATCACCTTTTCAAATTTTACAAATTAAAAAAAAAAAGACTCATCTGAAAGTTTAGCTTTTGAGTATGTGTGCCTTTGCAAATCCTACTTTCTGGTATTTCTATAGAATGTATTAATGATCGGAAATTTTCAAAAATATCATTAAGTAGTTTTCTTTAAATTTATTAAAATGGGCTTTTAATTAAGTTCTCTCAAGTTATAGTCATCCAGGAAATTTTGACATGTTGCTAATTGTGATAAGTGTGCAAATTCCAATACATCACCCTTCATGATAAGCAATGACAAAAACAAGAAGGTGGTAATTCACATATACCAGTTTTAAGGGTTTACGTTAAAGATGTGTCTCTGTTAACATCACTGAAAAACATTTAAACATATTGCAAAACATTTTATTGAGTTACCCCTTTCAAGGTGGTTAATTTGATGGTTTCTAATACTGAACATATTTTTGTAATCTTTTTGGACTTGCCTTCAGAGCCTACATCACATGAGTACTAGGAAACTTTGTATTTGTGTGTGTGTGTATGAATTGTAGTTAAGTTGATTAATATTGTTGGTTAAATTTGGGAGTAATATCATTTGATGACATAGTGATGTTGTCTTGAGGTGGTCCATAAGCTGTTTCTAACAAAATTTTTAAAGCTTAAAGACTGAAATGTTAATAGAGACCTAGATATTGAAATTTTCAGTTCTTTAGTTTTCAGGAGGAAAAATGTAAGATGGGCAGTGAATGGTAAGCCATGCTCAATCCACATGAAGCATGTTTGGTGAGAATGACACCTTTCATTTGTATTGATAATTCTGTTAGTTTCAACATTGCATAAACACAGAGACACTAAGGCACACAGATCACATATGCTATAGATCTGTCATCATAAAATCCTCATGCAAACATAATGGTCTCTTACCTTAGATTCCAGAGGAGGAGCCATAATTACAGGGAAAGGAATACAGTCAGATGCTCCACTGTCTTCTTTTTGTTTGCAGAATGGCAATAACAGAAGGTTTTAATCCAACTGCTTTAGGTTACCAATGTATATGAGTATATCTGGTCAAGTTTTTTTTTTCTTTTTTTCTTGAACAATGAAGAAAGACTAAGTTGAATTACTTTAAGCAAACATCAAATCATAAAAGGAATAATAAGCATGTAGGATAGCTCATTGAATCCAAGAACTATTATATAAATACAGTTGGACCTCAAAAGTTTCTGCAAGCATGAATGGATGGCTTTGTCCATTTTTCTCTGCAAACACACTTTCTCTCTTTACTGTGTTTTGGCTACGTCCACAACTGAAGTTGCTATGTCTACTTCTCTCAGTTGACCAGGTTAGACTATCACCAAATTTTAAAAAATCCAGTGATAGATGATTGGTCCAGCCTGGGTCAGGCCTCTCCCTGGATCAAAGCAGCTGTGGACAGAGGAGCAGAGTCATGAGCCCACCCTGCATGTGTTGGGTGGGGTGAGGGAATAGAAAAGAGTAGAGGCACAGAGTTTAGAGAAGGAGAGATCATGACCTAGGCATATCCCAAAATGTACCTACCATACTATATTAAAATATTTTAAAATTCAAGTAAAACTCAAAATGAGTTAGTCAAAACAAATATTTCTTTAGGCCATATAGTATTTTCTAGAATAATTAAATATTGTTTCATGACATAGTATATCTATTTTATAGCAAAAACAAAAACATGTAATGGGAAATACCATCCTTAGACTATATCTCAGTGATTGAATTCATTTGAGAAGGAAAGGGATTTAAAAAAAAATTATTAAATTTATTGGGGTGACATTGGTTAGTAAAATTATTGAAATTGAAATTAGGTTTCAAGTGTACAGTTCTACAATATATCATCTATATATTGCATTGTGTGTTCACCACCCAGAGTCAGTTGGGATTTTTTTCCTCTTTATTGAAAAAAGCTTATGACTTTTTGAGGTTGTTTTGTTTAACTGAGTATTCAAGAATTCAGCAAAACTGTGCCTTGGGTTCTTTTGGAGCAGAAACACTGCATGTATAAATCTAACAAACCATTAACACTTGTCTCAGTCTTATCTGAGCCTGTAATAAAGGTCAGACAACTGCTGAAGGGTCAGTGATTCTAACTGATGGAACTAATATCCATCCATGTAAAAACAGACATATTGGAAACGTCCCGATCTTTATCATGATGAATCGACTTGGAAGTCATTTACCAATCCGTCCTCTCTTTCCTGATTCTTCCACCACAGAATTACCATGCTATATGGACACACACAAACATCTATTTAAAGTAAATAATTAGTATTTTTATTCTAGAGATGGTCTAATCCTTACTTTGCGTGAATTTTCACTCTCTAACAGGCCGTATGGATCACCTCAGCACCAGACACTTATACAGTCCCTCTCATTTGTGTCCACTCCCTATATTAACATAGAAAGAGGGGTGGAACCCCCCCCCTTGGATCTAATAATTTTTAAAAAGAAGTTAGAACAATCACGTAAGCAACAACTCATAACATGCTTCATAATTACAGATATAAGTTGATGTGCATAAAGATAAGGAACACTGACAGGAAATAAAATTCAGAGACAAAAATCTCCAAGTAACCAAACATTTTTATCCTTTCCTGGTTTAGCCCAGTCAATACTAATTCCTCAAGGCTAATTTGGTTCAGATAGAATCTTACTTGGAAGTCTTAACAAAGAGCATCTGAAAGCTTTCCAACAAACATTAAGCATGCTTATTTATCACATGGGAAGAGTTTCTATTGTATCACTGCCTATTTTTGGTCTTAAACTATTTATGTTGTCTTACATACTATCTGTCATCCTAATAGGAGATTTAGGGGAGGTGGTAACATTATTCCAGTGCTAACTCTGTGCTCATCACTTTGTATGTAATATCCCATTTAATCTTTATGATAACCTCATTGTACACAGGAGAAAACTGAGGCTCTGGGAATGTTGGTACTTGTCCAATGTTATTCCACACGTATCTGTGTGTGTGTGTGTGTGTGTGTGTGTGTGTGTGTGTGTGTGTGTAATCTATACTCATACTCTTTACACCATGTGAAATTGAGGATTTATCCAGTGAATAAGTATTACTGTGTGAAGCATGTGTGACATGACATTTAATGTTCTTGTATTAAATTATAATTTAACATAAATGGTCCTTATGGAAAGAAAACACTAGAAAGCAGAATATATACGTTCTAGATTTGGCTTAGATATAAGCTAGGGGTGGGATTTGGACCCAATATTTCCAGGCCTCTGTTTCTTTTTTCTGTCTATCGAATGTGTTCTCTCACCCCTCTCACCACTCTCTATATACTTGTCCCTTTTATATTTTTCTCTTAATATGATAAAAAATAACAAAATATAAACATAATATAAGATAAATATGCCCTGTAATTACTTTTCCCACTTGTCTGGAAACTAAGGTTCCAGAAAGTAAGTTCCACCCCCATCTCTTTCATTGTTATATCCCAAGTACCTAGGTGGTCCCTGAAATTTAGTAAGCACTAAATCAATGTTTGTCAAGTGAATGAGCGAAAAGGAGAGATTATAAACTGAAAAGGAAAAACGGCCACGAAACCTACCTCAGCACAGTACTTTTCTCTCTGAGCAGTCATTTTCTGTTTACTTGTCTGTATCTCCTGCTAGGCGGCCTGAGACTGGGGCTGTCTTCACAGTTATATCCCCTTTCCCCGGAGCAGTGCCTGGCTCTGACGTATGATAGGCTGTCAGTAAATAAAAATTGTCCACGCGTCTGCAAATGTAGAGCTCCTTACTTCATTGTCATCATGAAATTGTTCACCTGGGAAATAGGCTTGAATATCATTCTATGCTTCTTCAAAGACACATTAACAGAACAGTCACAGAACATTATGAGATTAAATCAAAGCAAATTAAGGAAAATAAAAAGTACAACAAATTAACTGTTTCCCAGTTTTTTCAGACTTTTGAGGTATCCTGAATTTCTTGGGTATATGAAAGAAAGCATGTATGAACTAACTAAAAAGATCAACTCAACACTTTAATTGTTAAGTGGATTCTAGCCTTTTGCTGGCCAGTAACTCTTTATGAGCCAGGTGAGTTTGTGTCCCATGCCATTAGACCAGGCCTGTTCATTCTATGTTCTGTTTCCTTCCTTAGTCTGTGAATTTCTGGTACGTACTGGTGATGAATGATGAACACACAGAGAGGCGATATCTGCTGTTTTTCCTTCTGAGTTGGGGACTTCCAGCTTTTGTGGTGATTCTCCTCATAGTGATCTTGAGAGGGATCTATCATCAAAGCATGCCACAAATCTATGGACTCATCCACAGTGACCTGTAAGTACATCCAGGCAGACACTGCCTTCTCAGCCTTCAGTTACCAGGCAGCTTTATTAGCAGGTGGCGGAAGCAGTTGACTAAGAGTATGACTGGAGGAGTACCAGGAAGACCTTTGCTTTCCTGCCACACAGCTTGAAGCTCTACTTCTTCTAACTGGCCCTTTAAATAAGAAACTAATGCCTCTGCAGTTCCTTTAAGCAATTGAATTTTCTCAGGTTAGTTGCTGTATCAAAGAGTTCACAGTAACTTGTATATTAACATGATTTTAGTCTATTAGATTGAGACAAACAAAAATACCTAGTGAAATCAGGGAACTAAGAAAATTTTGATAAGAAATAATTGAAAAATTTAGAGTGTGGCACATTAAGAAGTCCAATGTTTTTTGTTTGTTTGTTTGTTTTTTGGGGAGGGGGCAGCACCATCATTCATAAGACCCCTAAATACCAAAAGACTGTATCAGAGTGAATTGAGAGTAGCTGTAAAAATACATGAGAAGGAGACAAGGTCTGCTGGGTCCTTCTTATATATTTGTATTAAAGTACACTAGTACTCTTGAAATCTAACACATTTTTATATGCACATGAGTATACATACCTTAATCCTGAGTCTGGTATCTTACAGCTCTGAGGACCACTCAGTCCCTTTTATTAACTTCACATGAAGGGGAAAAAAACAAACCAAAACACACATTTGTAATAAAGCTTAATCAGCTCCTTTGGTGTAATGAGGACTAGAAGAAAAAGTAGCATTTCTAAATAAGAAAGAATTGCCTATTCACAATCATATGAGGACAGTATTACCTTATTGTCTCACAGGTTATTGTGGAAATAAAAATTACTTAATAGATGTGAAAAATCTTTGAAAGTAAGAACATTATATAAGAAGATCATTTTAATATTACAGTTGCCTCTGATCAATTATGATTGTCCATTATATACTTAACTTGTTATATCAGTGTATGCAAAAGTATTTCACACATGGGCAGTCACAGACATATACTCCACACCACATTCAACCAAAGGAGACTAACTGTATAATACACACACACACACACACACACACACACACACACACACGCACACACACTGAGGTACCATATATAGTAATTTTGTCTTTTTATTGAGATTCAATGAGATCCCCTCATACTGGTTATAGTATTATAATATTTTTTTGTCCACAGAAAATTCAAAAGCCTAATTGTCTAGAAAGGAATGATCGTGTCTTTTCAAAATTATGTTATGGCATTTTACTACTCTGGCATTAATTTAAAACTTGGGCTGCCATGATAAATTTCAGAAAGTTCTGCATCATTCTTTGTCAGAAACAAAGTGACCATGAGACAAGCCCTGATGGCCAGCAGCCCATTCCTTTCATGAGCTCCCTGGCAAGACATGACTTATTTGGTGGCAGTTTTAGCATTGCATGTGTACCCACCCAGGTTTGATAAATGGGACCTTATTGAAGTGATGTTAGTTCAAAGAAACTCTCTTGATGTTTCTAAAAGGATTTTTAAAGAGAGAAATAAACTTTTATGCAAGAATGTCCAAATCGACTGACTCTTAAATTATTTGCCTTCTGAGTTTTCTTGCAAAAAGTTATTTATGTCCAGCTCAATTATAATAAGTGAAATGTAAAATATATTAACCTGCACCTGTTTTTAATATAAGATTATTAGACCAAAAGTGACTAACTTTTGTAAGCATTGTAGGCTACATTTCTCCTTCATTCACATATCCTAACTCATTCCCAGGTGGATTTATTCCAGTTTTTCAAAAGTTCTGTAATTTTCTAAATCACTTTAATCTCAATATACGAATATAAATTACTACATTATTTATATAAAGTATTTATGTAAAATATTGTATACCTATATCATTTAAAAACATTTTATTTCTCTAGAGATAATAGGATTTGTGATTATGTAAAATAATAGCTCATCTGTTGTGCAATAGTTACTTCATAATACTAAAAAATTTATTTTTAGTGAAGAATTTTTGTTGCATAGATCTCTAATGCATTAATATATACAAGTTGTTATTTTTTAAAATATTTTTGTTACTGAGATTACGTTAATTTCATGAAAACATTTAGGAAGTGATTTCTCTTTTCCTATTAGCTGAAAAAGCTTGCAAGTTTGATGTTATTTCTCTCAGTATTTGGAAGACTTCACACATAAAGCCATTTAGGCCGCAGGTTTTCTTTGCAGGAAGACTTTTATTTACAGATTCCTTTTCTTTAAAATATATAGGACTATTCGTATTTTCTGTATCTAGTTCTTTCTGAGTCAATTTGATAAACTGTACTTTTTCTATGAATGTTTTCATTTTACCTAACTATTCAAATATTTTAATGTTTTTAAGATCTATAGTGATGAATCTTTTTTTCATTCTTAATATTGATCATTTCTGTCTTCTCTCACTTTTTTCCTCTCTTGATCAGTCTTGCTGGGGGTTTATCAATATTATTGTTCTTTCCAATTTAAGCTTTTGACTTGATATTCTATATTATACGTGTGTTTTCAATTTCATTAATTTCTACACTCATCTCATCTTTTTAGTTTTATTGCTTTTACTGTCTAGGTTTTATCTTTTTTTTTTTCTTATTGTGTGCCAGGCACTATACATTTATTTATTTTTAAAAATTTTCCCCAGTGTTATTGAGATATAATTGACATATATTGTTGTGTAAGTTTAAAGAGTACAATGTAATTATTTGTTACATGTATCAGTTGCAAAATGATTTCCACAATAGGGCTAGCTAACCCCTTCAAAATCTCATATTACCTTTGTGTGTATGTGTGATAAGAACATTTAAGATTTACTCTCTTAGCAGCTTTCAAGTATATAATACAGTATTCTGAACTAAAGTCACCATGCTGTACATTGGATCTCCAAAACGTATTCATATTATAATTGGAAATTTGTACTTTTTGACCAACATCTCCCCACTTCCCCTACCCCCAGTCCCTGGAAACCACCATTCCAATCCCTGTTTCTATGAGTTCCACTGGCTTAGGTTCCTCATAATAGTAAATCATACAGTACAGTCATGTACTGCACAATGATGCTTTGGTCAAAGATGGACCATATTGCAACAGTGGCCCCATCAGATTATAATGGAGCTGAATGTCCTGGAAGAAATGGAAGGATATATGCTTCAGGAGGGATTTTTTTTCCTCTGGCAAGAGAAATATCTGTGAAGATAGATTCCCTTTCACTCACAGCACCTCAATTCTGAGTGCACTGATTGCATCCCAGTCAGTCAGCCACTCACCTGTTTCATCTGTTTCAGAACAGAAGAGCCTGTCTCCCTAGTGCTGTGTATTCAGAGGGCACTACAACCCTTCCAGATCTAGCATGATGGTCATCAGAGTGCATTGCTGTGAATTCTTTGTTGCGGACCTAAGATCCTATACAAGGACACAGGTCCACAGGAGCTACCTTAATAAGTATGAAGCGCCGCTACCACTGTGGTAGAAGCATTCTATTATAGTGTGGAGTCAGCCTATCCCTGTACTTATAAAATATTTTCAGGTTGTATTGATGAAAAGCATAGATACGTTTTATTTCTTCCACTAATTCAATGCCAGAGAGAGCCCTTTGTGCCAGACAGGGTCAATGGAACCAAAAACAAATTTCCAATGTAAAAATATTGAGTCTTCAGCTCTATACCCTCTTCCTGTTAAACACCCTCTTTTTTTTCTCTTTTTTTATAATGCATACCACAAAGTTCCTTAATCTGACCACTGCTCCAACATGCAGTAACCAAAACCACATTACCATGACAATCTCATGTTCCTTTATTTCTCCATCTTGATTTCTCATTTCTGCTGATCCTCACTATTATGGTGATCAGTTTCTCACCCAGCCAGTTTCTCCTCGATATGTCCAACTAGTCCAGCCCACATCCCTGTTTATGGAGCAGCACTGACAACTTCGATGTTCCACTTCTGACCCTGTCAGAAAGAAGCAGGGGTAGGGTTTGTGGGACAGTGTTTATAACGTTTACAGCAGTGGACAGTAACATCCTTCACAGTCACTCCTCACTCACTCACTGACTCACCCAGAGCAACTTCCAGTTCTGCAAGCTTTATTCATAGTCAGTACCCTATAAAGGTGTAGTACTCTATATTTTATATTTTTTTATATTTTATACTGTATTTTTACTGTACCTTTTCTATGTTTAGGGATGTTTAGATACACAAATACATGCCATGTGTTACAGTTTCCTACAGTGTTCAGTACAGTCACAATCTGTACAGGTTTGTAGCCTAGGAGCCATAGGCTACTGCATATATAGGTCTAGTAGGCTACACCATCTAGGTCTGTGTAAGTACACTCACTGTATGATGTTTGCACAATGATGCAATTGTCTAATGACACATTTCTCAGAATGTATCCCCTTCATTAAGTGATGATGACTGTTTGTCTTTCTCTGTCTTGTTTATTTCACTTAGCGTAATGCCTTCCTTTTTTTTCATGGCCGAATAATATTCTGTTATACCTTCTTTATCCATTCATTTGTAGTCAGACACTTAAGTTGTTTCCATTTCTTTGCTATTGTGAATAATGATAAAATGACTATAGGAGTGCAAATATCTCTTTAAGATCCTGATTTTATTTCCTTTGGTTAGATGCCCAAATGTGGAATTTCTGGATCATATGGCAGTTTTAGTTTTAATTTTTGAGAAACCTCCATATTGTCTTCCATAGTGGCTTTACCAAATTACATTCCCACCAATCTATGATCTTTATTAGTTCCTTCTGCTAATTTTGGGCTTAGCTTGTTCTTTTTCTAGTTCTTTGAGGTGTAAAGTTAGGTTATTTGTTTTATATCTTTTTTCTTACTGTAGGCATTTACCACTACAAACTCCATCTTTTAACAGTTTTTGCTGCATCCCATAAGTTTTGATATGTTGTGTTTCCATTTTTGTTTGTTTCAAGACATTTTATTTATTTCCTTTTTGATTTATTCTTTGACCCATTGGTTGTTCAGGA